CTTCTGGGAGAGAGCTTGGTACGTGGACCTTGTACCCAGCAGCCTCAGGCAGGCCTGGGATTCCCCATCCTCTAGGCAATGAAATCCCTTCCTCACATTGTACATGAGGGTGAGACCTCACATTCCTGTGGGGCAGGAAATCCTGGCAGGGTGTCTTCGTGACCTTGAACAAGTCACTGGACCTCTCTTTGTCCCTCCTCTGTTGTTAGGTACTAACAAGTCAATTCCAACTCACAGTGACCTTACCTAGAGCAGAACACAGCACTGTCCTGCCCTGCAGCCCCCTGCTTCACTCTGTGAGCCCCTTTTGGCCACTGTCAGCCCACTCACTGGCACTCTTCCTCTGCAGGGTGTTATTACTAACTAGAGCATCACGCAAGCGTGCTGAAGCCTGAATGCTGTGGAGGGGCGCTGGTGTCAGGCACATGTGGGCCCAATAGTAGTTTAGTTTCTCCTTTCACTCTGAGGCCTATCCATGGGGTTGAGATGGAGAAGAGAATTCCCAAGATCTCATCCAGGGGCCAGTATGTCTCTTCTTTGATTTAGGGGAAGAGAAACTGTGAGAGGAAGTTCACAAGGAGATCAGGGACTTGGTCATGGCCTGGATATACTCAGAGGCCACGTGCCCCCGAAGAGTAAGGCATCCCAGTGCTACTGAGATGTGCCAGCTCATTTGACCTCATGCAAACTCCATGCGAATGAGAGTAGTCCTAGTCCCCTCACGATATGAAATGGGATGGGAGCTGGGCTGGGTGGTCAGTCTCTCTCAGTCCTCAGGTCATCTCATTATGGCTGTCTCGCTGGTTCTCAACACCCTGGTTTGAGTGCCCACCTTTAATGGCCATGTCTCCACCTGTCCATTTGTCCATCCAGTGAGCACCGCTGAGGGCCTGCTGGGTACCAGGCCCTGAGCTAGGTGTCAGGGATCCACAGCTGAAAGATGTCCTGGCTGACAGGAGAAGCTAATGCAGTGACACCCCAGTGGTGCAGTATGTGACAGGGACATGGGGGTGAGCAGCTCTGCTGAAGGAAATCAAGAGAGGGGCGGTGGGTCTTGATGGATGTGAGGGGCAGGCACCTGGGCAGAAGGGCAGCCAGAGGCAAATGTGCTGTAGTGTGATCCTCAGAGCTTCTCATACGAGGGAAGAGGGCTGTGGTGTGCACTTGGGAACAGTGGGAGGTTGAGACCGGGCCCAAGGGGGCCCCTACTTGACATGGGCCCACACTGAATCAGGGTCCCCACACTTCTGCCCTCCTGAGAGCCAGAGTGAGCAAGGAGGTCAGCCAGGATGAGTTCTGGACGCCAGCTCTCCCGCCAGCCAGCAGTGGGCAGTCCCCAGCCCACTGGCCCTGGCCTTGCCACTAAATTCACATCTGCTGTGCAGGCTGGAGGTGCACTCACCCCAGGGGAGCCAGGCTGCAGATGTAATCATTTCTGTGATGGAATCATTTCTGCACCCCCCTGCTCACAGAGCTCCCCTGGGGACCCCGCCACTTGCCTGTGCAAGCTGTCAGGAGAGGCATGTGCTCGTGTGCATTCACGCCAGCCCTCAAGTGTGTGCACTTATGCACGTTGTGTGCAGAAATCTTACTGTGTCTGACCTCCAGCATGAAAGGCTGAGAGCGCTGCTACTGAGCACAGCCAGTGTGGACCCAACTCCCTGGGGAGCTGTCCGCAGGAAGCCATCCCACCAGGCCTCTAAGGACAGCTCACGACCCATGTCTTGGGGGAGCCCACGGAGAGCCCATGCATCTCCTCCAACCTTCTAGAACACCCAGAAGCTCTTTTCTGGCTGCCTTGTCAGCCCTGAGACAAGCCAGGCCTCTGCTTACCTGGTACCAAGGATAAGTGGTCTTCAGCGTTTACTTTCTCAGCGTTCCCGTCTCCAGGCAGCCCTCTGTGAGTAACAGCATTGCCCGGAGCTTGTCTTCTGAGCTGAGCGCTTCTGGGTGGCCTCAGCACTGTTGGTGACCTCATCACTGCCTGGTGACCTCATCACTGCGGGGTGACCTCGGCCAGGCTGTGCTGGGTGGTGAGACAGGAGAAGCCCGGCCTTTTGTGAGCTCACTGGTGCCAGATGCCACCATCCAGGAACGCACATGCACAAAGCAGAAATTAAGGCGAACCAAGCACGAGGTCCATGTGTAGAACGCTGGCGCCAGATGAGTGTGTGTCCAATGACGGGCAGCATTTTGGCCTTGGCTGTCTTGGGGGGAGTGTTCAGGGCCCGCAGCCCTGCCCCCCCCGGTAGCCCCTCCTTGGCACAGGTTCTGCTGCGCCAAAGCCAAATGCTCAGCACTTGTCAGATGGAGTCTCCAGACGGCTGGCACTAGATGGAACACAGAAACCCTAGGATGCCAGTATTTGCAGGCAGCCAGCTCTGGTCTTACAGGTAGGGGAGCGGCCTGGAGAGGCCAGTTCTTACCCTATTCACACAGCAGGAGGCGGGCAGAGCAGGGGTGCACCCCTTCTCCTGGCTCCCCACTTAAATAGAGTGGCTCAGAGAGAGGACAAGGGGAGCCCTCAAGTCCAGAGTAATGAAAGCCATGAGATTGGGGATCCACTGCTTGAGCTCATTCCTGTTAAAAAGTAGGAGGCCCTTAGCCCTACAGGCCAGCTGCAGATGGTCTGAGGCTAGGGGTGGACCTGCGGCCCGGCCCAGTGTCCTCGGTCCCCGGAGGTACCACAGGAGGCTGGGGCTGGAGCTGCAAGTCTACAGAAGATTTGTAGGGGCTTGTAAAGGCTTAAAGGAGTTCAGGAGGTGGAAGCTGCTGCTGAGGTGGGGCAAGCGCTCCTGTGGTGGAGGGCGACCTCTGCTGGCCATTGGACGCTCAGCATGTTAATGGTCCAGGCTGGGGGTCCTTGATCAGGTTGCATAGGATCAGGTGGACATCTCCTGGGAACAGTCGGGCTTGGGGCTTCAGGGAGGCTCTAACCCATGAGAGCAAAGAACAGCACAGTGATGGCTGAATAGATAGCGGCTCCCTTCTGTGATGCTTAGGACAGGTTACTTCACCCCTGAGCAGGCCTGCCCGGAGCAAGTGCTGAACAAATGACACACACACACCCCAACACCCACTCCCAACACCTTGCTCTCCGTGTCTGGGGCCTGTTAAGACTCCAGAGCACGAGACCCCTTTCTGTTGGGCTTGGAGCCTCCAGCCCATCAGCTAGTCCATCCACCCCCAGTTTTCCTCCATAGATCTCAATAGTTAAAAACTGTGTGTGCCTTTTTAGTCAGCAGAACATTTCGTTCTTTGGTGGATGAAGAAGTTCAGGACACACTCATCCCTGTGTTCTAGGAGCCTCCAGTTGTACCCACTTCATGTAAAGTGAACCCCACCCTGGCAGAGAACACCTGTGTCTGGACACTGCATGCTGTATCCCCCACCCCCACCCCGACCATTCCTTCTCGGCCTTGAGTTCCCCTAAATCAGCCAAGGTGTTGGGATGGGCGGAGACTTTGTCATATCTGTGGCCATTGATCATCCCAGATTCTTTGAATCAGAAGTCCCTTGTTCCTGGCCACTGGTCTTGACATGAACCAGAATGAAGGCCTTTGGGAGGTTGGATACAATGTGTCTGCCTTTGCATTTTGTTAGGGAAGATTCTAAAGTGGAGCCAGCTGCCCTGCTCCCACCTCACAGGAAGGAGCAGCCCACCCCAGGAGAGCTAAGCTTCCTCAGCTGAGAAACCATCTGTCAGTCATTCAACAAGCATTTACCCAGCAGTCTTTGCCCCCAGAGCAAAATATCCATCCCTGGGAAAGTCACCACCTGGTGAGACCGCCTCAGTGACCCTTCTGTCCCTCATCATCCTGTTCTTTCAATGAGGACACAGGGGTGCCTGCTCCAGACCCACCCCCCAAGCTGAGGGAACCTGAAGACCCCAGAGCGCTCAGGAGCGCAGGGAGGAAGAGACCTGAAGAGAGCCTAGAGCCACTTTCTTATTTCTTGCCCTGTAGGCACGTAGGTTTTCCAACAGCACCCCCTGCTGGCTCTGGAGCCTCCGCACGCCCTTTATCCAGCTGTCTGTGCCCACAAACAAGGAGATCCACCCAGGAGCTGAGCCGACCAGACCTCCATTTAAAGGGTTCCTTCGGCTCAGGATCACTCCCCCTAGTCATCTGTGGAAACTTCCCCTTTGATAGGTCCCTGGCAGTCAATGCATCACACCCATTGCATACTAGGTGGCGCCTAGGAGGCAAACAAGAGACTCTCCACTGAGGTGGGGTCTGGCACCAGACACTTGGCGGTTGTTAAGTGTCCCTCCCCTCCCAGACCAGCTTCTCTTCTGTCCCTGCCTCTCCCACCCTCATTTGTCCCTGGCTGTCGTCTATACACTTAAATTCAGGAGAAACAGACAGCCTCTTCCAGCTGGATTTTAGGGGACAGGTGAGAAACGCAACCTTCCCCCCACACACCTGCAACACTGAAACACCTCAGTGCCTATGCGCATAAACAGGAGCTGCAATGGAAAGGCAGAGTTCTGAAGCTGGCTTCTACAAAACCAGCTGTAAAGGCCTGGGTCTCAGTTTCTCTAGCTGTAAAATGAGGGCATAACTGTGTTTATCCATGCCCAGTGCCAAGATCAGTACTGATTCACAACAGCAACTCAGCAGTCACCTAATAGGAGACCTGCGTATATGCAGGTGTGGATCCAGAGTTCCTTGAACACAGAAAGCAATTTTGTTTTTCTTTCCACGCGAACACCAGGCTGAGCCCTGGCCTCGGCACATTGTAGGTGTGGAGGCGTGTTTCCTGGGTGTGTGGACACAGGCAGGGACTAACGACGTTTGTGTGAGTGGAGCTCCCGGAAGAATGTCTCTACCAGCACAGGCCTGCCAGGGCCAAGGAGCGCCCTACTCACACAGGCCTGGGGGCTTTCCAAGGCCACTGGACTGCACATCAGTGTTGGGGCCAGGAGGTGCCTGGGCAGCAGAGGTGGGCAAGCCTGGCCAGAATCAATGACAGCCTCTCTTCTGTTTCTTCGCAGGCTGGACAACGTTCATGGCTCTCGGGTAGAACCCAGTGAAACGGCCAGAATGAATTCTATGGACAGGCACATCCAGCAGACCAACGACCGACTGCAGTGCATCAAGCAGGTAGGTGTGCGGGGCTTGAGTAGAGGCACATTCTCCCACTCCCTGGGCAGAGCCAGGGGATGTCAGCCTGCCCTATTGCATGGCACTAGTGGATTCTGGGAGGAGGTGGTGGGCCTGGGCTGGCTGCCAGCAGCCCCCTGACTACTCACCTGGTAAGACTACTTCTGCCAAAGATCAGCTCCACGGGAGCCATGTAGATACCTGGGCTTGAACCCAGCCCTTTCCCTGCCTGTCTCGCTGTGTGACTTTGGGTGAGTATCATAACCTCTCTGGGCTCTGTGTGCTCTGTGCCATCATGAGGATGCTTTTCCAGACACAGAGTTTCAACTGTGCTCCAGCTATTCTCTAAAGGAGAAGACATCCTAGGAAATTGGGTTCTTCTGGAGAGAAGGATTAGGGAGCCCCGGTGGTTCAGTGATAAGGAGTTGTGCTGCCATCGCAAAGGCATGTGGATCAAATCCACCAGCTGCTCCACGGAAGGATGGGAAGTCTCTTCCCATGTGATTTACTACCTCTGAAAACCCACTAAGGGTCAGCTATGGATCGGTTCTAGCTTGACAGTGCACAACAACATGGAAAAGGATAGGACAAGGTTCAGATCTGTTGTTCACAGGGCTGCTATGAATCATATTCAACTCAATGGTACTTAACAACAAAATAAAAAAGCAAGGGAGTTATGGTGGCCTAGTGGATAAGGAGTTGCCACCCAAAGGTTGTTGGTTCAAATCCATCAGCTCTTGTGTGGAAGAAAGATGGGCAGACTCCTCCCATACAAATCCTGCTATAGGATCGACTAGAAGTCAGCTCCGACTTTATGAAGGAAACGAGTGGGGGTCACAAGGCCAGCACTCTGGGAGGGAATGGCTCGCCCTGGGGTAGCACATTCCTCTCCTGCTGATAGTTCACACCAAGCCTGGGAGACCTCTTCCCAGCACACACTGTCTGAGGTGTTTAGAGGTGGGGTCTCCCTCCATGGTGGACTCAGTGTCCCCCTACTTGAAGACAGTTGACCTATCCTTGTGAGCATCCACACCCTGGGCTAGCCCCTCAGTGCCCCGCACGGACTCTTGGCAGCTGGCCCTGGCTCCTGGTGATCCACGTGCAGTGGGGGGAACACGCTCATCCTGTGCCCTCCTCATGACAGGCTGCAGGTTAGACCACTGTGATCCATAGGAGGTGTGGGGTGAATTGCCAGGCCTTTCTTCCTAGTTTATCTTAGTCTGGATGGATGATCTTATCTAGCATCACAGAGGTCTCTGTGACAGACGAATGCAGCTGCACCCGAGGAACCTCCCTCCTGGAAGGTGTGAATTCTCCCAGTGAACGACCGCAGCCTCCAGCACAGACTAGGAATGGCATTCTACTCCATAAAGGAGGGATTGTGCTGGGGGACATGGACTTGGGGGGCAGCTGGACCTGGGCCGCATGTAGGCCCTCCACTAACCACTTCCTCATGTGTCAGAGGGAGCTGATCAGGCCAACCTTGGAGGATGCTGGGAGAACAGCACATATCAAAGGGGGGAAGGGGGGGAAGGGGGGGAAGGGCAGGGGGCTGTTTTCCTCAGGGTCTCATGGCTGGAGCTGGGTGTGTGGCTTAGTGCACTTATCAGGAAGCTCAGGTAACCATGTCCACACAGCAAAATACAAGAGGAAGAGGGTTAAGGTAGCCTAGTGGGTAAGGAGTTGCCACCCCAAGGTGGTTGGTGCAAATCTCCTAGCAGAAGAAAGATCCATTTACAGACTCTGAAAGTCCATGGCTACTTGAGTGGCCCCCAGATCAGTCAGGGATCAGATTGACCTCAGGGCCCATGTCCCCTCTCGGGGTACAAAATGAAATTGGTCAGGTGGGCTGGAGGCTGCTCTTGGGAACAAGGGCAGCATGTCCTCTCATTAGCGTCAAGCGGAGAAAGCTCAGAGCTGGCTTTGAGTGTGAGGGGAGGAAATTGAAGAAGACTTGTTACAGATTGAACCCAGCCTTAGCAGTTCTCCCAGATACCAATTACGCCTGGGCTCACCTTGTGGAACAGAAACCAGACCAAGAGCCTCTGCTCCTCCCTTCTCCTCCTCAAGCCCCCGGCCCCTGCTCCCCTGCCTCCTCCACTCCCTCCTCCTTCTCACACTGCACCCCTTCAGCTCTGCATTTGACCCAGTGTCTCCCACTGTCCTGTGGCACCAGCCCCCGGCAATGCGTTCCTGCTGCCCTCTGTGCCAGGCACAGACCTTCTCCCACCTTCACCTTCCCTTCCCATTGGCCCTGAAGCCCCAGGCATCAGAACTGCAGTTACCTCTGGCCCAGCCGTCTCTGGTCCTGCCCTGGTCCCATCCCCACAGGGCCCCCTCTCTTATTTCCTACCTGTTGTTTGTTGTTGCTAAGACGATTCATAATGACCCTATGAATGAAAGACCTGAGCACTATTCATAGAGTTTCTGGAGGCAAACCATTCCAGAAGTGGATGCCACTCCTGCTTCCAAGCTTGTTTTAATCGGGAAGCTCCACCAAACACTGTCCACCATGGGTAACCATTATCGCATTTGGCACATCAGAGTCACAGTGTTTAACATCACAACGACCACACGTTACCTCTGCACAGCATTGATTAAGATGCCCCTGCACCTGTTCCTCTGTTGAAGGGGCATCAAAATGCATGTTTAGCCAGTAAAGACGTCCCTCAAAGCCAGGAGTAGCTGCAGCTGGCCTCTCCCAGCCTGCCCCTCCACATATGTGTGCACATACACACACGCGTGCCACAGAGTGAGACAACCCCCAGGGTCCTGCCTTTGATCCTCACAGTGGCACCTGAGAGGTGGGAACAGATTGTCCCTACACCTTGACTCCTCCTGGGGTCGGCCTTAGCTCTGCACCCACACCTCCGCTCAGACACAGCTCAGTGCTGATGTCTGCATGCTCCCCAGATGCCCAGGGGGCGACAGCAGCTAGCAGGGGACTGTGGAGGCTCAGGCACTGCAGCCTAATCAAAAGGGAGAGGCAGCAGGTCAGCGTGTTCTGAGCAGGACGGATGTGCCTGTGTGTGGGCCTCTGGCTGCAGCGACTGTGGCTGGCCCGCGTTCTCTCCCTGACCTACCCTGCATCTCGCCAGGGTTGACACCTACCTCCCCCTGAGAGTGCTCTGCCCATTTGCCCTGTGGGCCTCTGGCTCAGTGACCTGCCCCCATTTCTCTGCCTCGTGATCCTGGAGAACCAGTGCCTTCTCTCTGCAACACACCAGCTCCCAGGTCAAGCTCTGCAAACCAGCTCCTTTCCAAACCAGCAGCCTCCTCAAAACCAGGTGCCTTTCGCGGCATCTGTCCCAGCCCCCTTTGCTGAGTCTGGGTGCTGGCTGGGGACCTCATGTGCACCCTATTCCTTAACCCTTGAACAATAGGCTTTTCAGGGTGTGCATCAGGCCTTCTATCAGCTGAGTTCCCCGAGGCAGAGAATGTGTCAGTGTTCTTCTCCAGGTCAGCTGCATCTAGCATGGTGTCCAGCCCAGGAATAGGACCCAGGTGTGTGCTGGGAGGGTGAAGGAGGAGCACACTGATAGACTGATAGCTATGGGAGTGAATAGATGGGTGGAGAGATGGGCCTATGGATGGCTAGGTAGGCGGGAGAATGAGTGGCGAGTGGGTATAGATGATGGATGAATAACAGGATGAATGATTGGGTGGGTGGCTGGCTGGGTAAATTAACTTATGGTTGGTTACATAGATAGGTAGCTGGATGAATAGATGAATGTGTGATGGATAAAGTAATGAGCAGGTGAATGAATGGGTTCATGGAAAATGGATGGTAGATGAATTGATTCATGTGTGGATGGATGGATGGATGGATGGATGGATGGATGGATGGATGGATGGATGGAAGGAAGGAACAGGAGATCACTTGATACACTGATGGAAAGGTGGATGGAAAATGAGATAGATTTGTCACTTTAAATGGTGCCAGTTCCTCACCTTAGTGTTGGTGTGCCCTGCTCCCACCCTGACAGACTCAGTGGCTACTTGATGCAACCCAAATCTTCTCAGGAATTATGGAATGGACAGGCCTTCAGGTAGAAGCCATTGTTACAGTGAGTGTTTCACAGCAGCCACTGCAGGGAGACCTCTGTCCAGGGATCTCATCTGTGCTCCCATCAGCAGACCCTCACAGAGTTGCAAAATCTACCCACTACCCCTCAGGAACCGGGGACCTTCTCTGAAGTGAATGGGGAGCTGGCCTGCACAGCCAGAGAGACCGTTGTTATGTTAGCCAGATAAGAGCAATGAGCTGTTTCCACCCTTTCAGAGTGACAAGGGACTACACAACAGCCACCACATCAACTGGCATTCCAAACAAAAAGCCAAACCACTGTTATTGACTCAGTTGTAACTCATGGCCACTCTATTGGGTTTCTGAGACTAAATGCTGGGCAGTAACTAAAGATGACAGAAGAAGCAATGCCTTTGACTTGTGGTGTTGGAGAAGAGTAATGATTATCTCAAATGGGCTGCCAAAAGAACAAGCAAGTCTGTCTTCAACAAAGTGCAACCGGGGTGAAACTTCTCTCATGTACTTTGGACATGTTGTCAGGAGGTGTTTCTTCTTGTTGTTGTCAGGTGCTGTCAAGTTGAGTATGACTCACGGTGACCCTCTGAACAACAGATCTGAGCCCTGTCCTATCCTGCGCCATACTCAGAATCTCTGACACTCTCAAGCCCCCTGCTGCAGTCTCTCTGTCAATTCACCTGGTTGAGGGCCTTCTCTTTTTTTACCAACTCCCCACCTTTCCAAGCATGACGTCCCTCTCCAAGGAATAACTTCTCCTAGCAACATGCCCAAAGGAGGTGAAATAAAGCGTCATCTTTACCCCCAAGGAGCACTCTGGCTGAACCTTCTCTGAGACATGTCTGTTTATTCTTTAGCAATTCATGGGACATTCAGTGCTCTTCTCCAACATCACAGTTCAAAAGCATCAATTCTTCTATCATCCTTATTAATTGTCCAGCTCTCAGATGCATAGCAAGTGACTGAAAAGACCATAGTCTGAATCAGGAGTACCTTAGTCCTCAAACTGACATCATTGCCCCTCAAAAATTTGGAGAAGTCCATGACTACAGACTTTCCCAGTACAATATGTCTTCTGATCTCCTGACTGCTGGTTCCAAGTGTATCGATTGTGGATCTAAATAAGATGAAGTCATTGACAGAGCTAGTCCTTGGAAAAGACATGATGCTGGAAAGGTGAGGCTCAGAGAAGGAGAAGACCCTCAGCAAGATAGATTGACATGGTAACTGTAACAGTGAATGGTGAAGATGCCATGGGATAGACACGGTTCCCACACAGGGTTCATAGGGTCACTGTGAGTTGTAGCTGACTCAGTGACACTCAACAATGACAAATCTTTCTCCCAAGGAGCATCTGGTGGATTTGAAGAGCTGATTTTTTTTTATTTTTTTTTTTTTTTTGGTGCACAGTGTAATATGTAGCACACTAGGACACTGTTAAGTGCCATCAAGATACTTGCAACTCATAGTGACCCTCTGTACAACAGCTCTAAACCCTGCTCTGTCCTGAGCCAACCTCATTGTCTCCGACACACCTACCCCCATTACTCCAGTAACTGAGTCAATCCATCTCATCGAGGGTCTTCCTCTCCTATGTTGTCCCTCCACCCTCCCAAGCATGATGTCCCTCTCTGAGGACTAGTTCCTCTTTACAACATGTCCAAAGTATGTCAGATGAAGCCTTAGAATCCTTGCCTCTAAAGAGCAGCCTGGTTTCACCCTTTCTAGGATGAACCTGTTTGTTCTCCTAGCAGTTCATGGTATACTTGATACTCTTCAGCACCACAACTCAAAGGCATCTAATACTCCATAAATTGCAATGTTGTCATTGTGTACTATTGAGTCAAAACTGACCCATTTCTGCCCCTCCAGCAGGTTTTTGGAGGCAGTAAATTGTACAAGAGGAGATTGCCTGTCATTCTCTGTGGAACAGCTGGTAGATTCGAACCACATGCCTTTGGGTTGGTAGCACAGCTCCTTACCTCTAGGCCACTGGAGCTCCCTTAAATTACAGTAGCAGTCTTCAATTAGGTACCTCCTTTGCTTTATGTAAATTGTCTCTAAACTTTGCAACCACCTGCAAGCTGTTACTACCTATTTCATAGATGAGAAAGGTGAACTTCAGTTATGTACCTAAGGCAACCGGGCTCAGTATGTGAGCTGGAATTAGAACCACGTCTGCCCGGCTCCTTTCTGTCCATCGTCAGGCTCCCTGTACCCCAGCTGCCTCGTTGCAGACGAGGCAGAAGCACAGACAGGGCAGGGGACTTAGCCAAGGCCACAGAGCAGCTAAGTGACATAGACATAAGGCAGGTGACAATGAGATGTGCCCACACTGAAGACCATGTGAGCTGACCTGGCGTGAGGGTGAGGGGCGAAGAGATGGCCAAGGTGCCTGGAGGCTGGCGAGTTAGAGGTGTCTGGGTGCTTGGGGGCCCTAACAAGATCTCCCCAGCATGGAGATCCCAGAGCCCCACAGGGTGATGTGGAGGGGTGGGGACAGTGGCCCTGGGACTGCTTAGCTCTGTTGATTGGGCGTGACAGCACATAAATTAACGGAACAACTTGGTTAGCCAAGTGAGGCTGCTGGGCAGGGAATTAGCTGGCCAGCGGCCTCAGATGGGACATGTCTCTGAGAGGAGGGTAGGAAGCCAAGGCCGCGCGCCGCTGCCCTCTTGGATGGGTGATTTCTAGAAGCTGCAAACTCTTGCCTTCCACATAGGGCTGAGGGCGGCAGCTGCAGCTGTGCCTCGAGAGCCGGGGAGTCCCATGTGAGAGCCCCCCATGCGCCGGGCACTGTGCCAGGTGCCGAATAAGCCTGGCCTTGTTTCATCCCCACCACAGCCTGGGCCGAGTGCTGTGCTGTCACTCGCCTGCCCCTTTCTTCCCCTCGTTTTTTCTCCTCTTCTTCTGTGGAGGGTGAATATTCTAACTCAGCTTCTTTGCCTCCATCTGTTCTGCAAAGCTTGGCCTTGTGCAAACTCAGTGTAGCAACAGTAATGAAGCCATAAATGAAAGAAAAATTGTCCACAACGAGCTATGAGTCCTCACCCCATTTTACAGATGGAACCACTGAAGCTCTGAGAGGTGAAGGGACAAGCCCAGGTCAGCAGCTGGAGGACCAGACCACGTGGCCACAGGCCACGACCCCACAGAATGGCTCACAGCCATCCTCTCCACCCTCGCTTCTAGTTCCAGGGCCTAGCAGGACGTACTGTGGGGAAGAGCTTCCCAAGGACAGCCGCTGGTCTTTGTTGCTAGTGGACCCCTTTATCTCTGGTGTACCCCTTTGTCTCTGATGTACCCCCACCTCTATATCCCCTGTTGCTGGTGTACAAAGGTCTTCAGGCCTTTTTTTCATATGGTCGCTATGAGTCGTGCTTGACTCAAAGGCAGCCAACAATAATTGGTGTACTCATTTTGTCCCTACCATACCATGTCCTTTTCTCTGGTGTACCCTTTGTCTCTGGCATACCCGTTTTATCTCTAGTGTACCCCCTGTCTCTTGTGTGCTTCTTTGTCTCTAGTATACTCCATCTCTTGGATACCCCCTTTTTCTTTGGGTTTCCAGAGGTCCCCCTTAATCCAAACAGGTTGATCCTGTCCATTTCACAATTGAGGTAAGTTGAGGCCTGGTTTCACACACTGAGCCACAGCAGAGCAGGGGTGAGGACCCTGGTACCTGGCTCCAGCCCAGGGCTCTTTTTCCGTCCATATAGAAGCCTTCTGCTCCTCTAGCCATTTCCCCCATTGAGCCTGGGGTTCAGGCCACCTGCATCCTTGAGCTGAGCTGAGCTGAGAGTAGTGGGCTGGCCAGTCCTTTCTGCTCACCAGCTCCACTGTCCTTGTTGGTGAGCACTCCCCAGGCCCAGGGCCTCAGCCTCAAAGGCAGACATGCATCTGTGTAGTAGATATCAGTAGGTACCTCCTAGCACAGGGCCTCTGTGAGGCAAGGACACTCCAGTCAGGGTTCAGTCCCTGCCGGCTCAGTGGCCATGGAGAGCCCTTTCGTTCACCCACAAAGGATGAGACAGAAGTGTGGGAGATTTGGGCAGGTCACTGGGAATGAGTAAGGAAATGCATCCTAACCTATAGCATCTGTGCACAGGCTGAGCCTTATTGTGACCCCAAAGCTGTGAGGACAGGCTCTAGGGGCACTCCTCCCAGTTTTGAGGAGAAAGAGCATTGAGCCCCTCACCCTCTGAGGGACAGAACTACTGAGCTTGATCACATCGGCCTGAGTGTGACACTTCCCTTGTCCTCTGCTGAAGGGTGGGTGAAGCATGGGGACCCTGCAATCTTTTGCCCAGGCCTCCATTCACCCCTGGCAGGGCACCAGAATTCCCACTTGAGGATGGGGTTGCAGTGAGGTGAAAGATGTGCCTAGGGTGAAAATGTTAAGGAGGTACTCAAAATGCAAGGGCTATGTAAATACAGGTCAGCCTGAGATCTAACACCTCCTTAAATATTGCTGTCTACACACTTAGCAGTCTCCTCCCATGGAATTCACCACCTCTGAAAGCCTGGGCTCTGAATTGGTTCCTACTCAACAGCACACAACAACACCACCACCACACTTCATCCCCCTCACCCTCTTGCCGGCCCTGCCAGAATCCTGATCCAGATGAAAGGAGCATCCCCTAGATAGACCTCGGTGCCAGCTCAGGGGGAGCATTCATGCTGGCTGAGGGGAATCAGAGTCTCCCATAGAAGTGACTTCGGGGACCCTGGGCTCATCAGCCGGCTCACCATTCCTTCTTGCTGAGGCCAGGATCCGTGGGGGCCTGCACCCCTTTCTGAAGGAAATCAGGATAAGCTCCCCTACATGGCCTGTCCCCTCCCTGCCAGTATTCCCCAGTCAAGTTGAAGGGTACCTGTCACCGCCCCCAGCACCCTCGCACCAGCCACATATAAATAACCACATGGCCCTGAAGCTCCCACAGCCCTTCTCCCACGCTGTGGCCTTGAGCACCCATTCTCCGAATCCACGGCCTTGGAGTCAATTCTGACTCACAGTGACCCTCCAGTGGGTTTCCAAGAAATCTCAGAAATTAGATCTGTACAGGAGGGACTGCCCATCTTACTTCCAGAGTGCTGGTGGACCTTTCTCTTAGCGGCCCACATGCTACACCATCCAGGTGCTGCTGCTGCTGTTTCTCTGTACCTTCCAGTCAGAACCAACTCATAGCTGACCCTCCACCGGGTTCTAGAGGCAGTAAATTGTGTGAGAAGAAATCATTCCTCTTTCTCCTGTAGAGCAGCCAGTGGATTCAAACCACCTGCCTTTGAGTTGGCAGCACAACTCCTTATCACAAAGCCACCAGGCTTCAGAATTCTGCCTTTCCTTCCTCTGACTATGAAGGACCCTGCCCACAAGGCCAGCTAGACTGGGTTCAGGCACTCAGGGCCTGAGGAGCTGGGAGAGCTGACCAAACAGTAGAGCACGCTGCGACTCTAACCTCGGCGCATGACTGCGGTCCCTCTTCCCATCCGGGCTTAGCTTGACAGTGGTGTAAAAGAGGGACTCTCTTCATCAGGGAGGAGTTTCTATGTTCATTCTGTCCTGGGAGAGGCATTCCTGATGTATAGAAGCCCTGTGCCACCCTCTGGGACCCTGTCAGAAAACACTTCTTACGTACTACCCCTGCTCTCCTCCAGACTGCTCTTCCCGGCTCCCATACTGTTTGGCGTTGGAGTCAAAGTGAGGGAGGTGCAGGAGAAAAGTGGATGAGGGGAGTGTGAGGAAGATCCTTAACCCCAGACTGCACCTTTTCTCCTTTCTGGGAGCCTCCTCCCTGCCCCAGATCCCAGTGCTGGTATTGAGCCTTGATCCTGAAGCCTCATGCTGCCCCTTCTTCTCTCCCACAGCACTTACAGAATCCTGCCAACTTCCACAATGCCGCCACAGAGCTGCTGGACTGGTGTGGAGACCCCCGAGCCTTCCAGCGCCCCTTCGAGCAGAGCCTGATGGGCTGCCTGACGGTGAGCCATGCATCCCTACCTGCGCTCACACTAGGGGTGGGGTGGCTAGGAAGAGCACGCACACCCCTGCCTATGCTCATACCTGGGGAGAGGCTGCGATGAACGCACACACTTCTCCTTGTGCTCACACCTGGGAGCTGGCTAACAGTTAGGCACACACCCCCACCCCCGTGCTCACACCTCTGGGGTGGCTAGGATGAACACGCACATCCCTGCCTGTGCTCACACCTGGGTGCTGCCTGAGTGACTGAGCCACACACCCCACCTGTATTCACACCTGGGGTATTTGGGGCTGAGCCCACACCACCCTTGCCTGTGCTCTCATCTGGGGAGGGGGGGGTTGGGGCTAAGCCCTCACATTCTCCACCTGCCCTCACATCTGGGGGGAGTTAAGTCTGAGCACACCTGTCCACATGTTGGAAAGCTGTCAGAAAGCAAGAGAGATGAGAGAAGGGGAGACACCAGCAGCTGGGTGCATGGCTCTTCTCTGATGTCCACACACAGATGTACCCTCAGGAAATCAACGTTTGATGAGAACATACAGTATACATGGATTCTGCGGTTTCCCTGCACATGTAAAGAAAGACACAGAACCTGCTTTTTTTTTTTTTTAGAACCTGCTTTTTGAGAGAGCTCTAAATCTGTGGGGTAGAAGTTCCATCCTTAGCAAAGTAGACAGACTCCTAAAGGGTTTTCAGCCATCTTTTAATCCAGCTATTCATTCACTCATTTAAGTGAACGTTTATTGAGCTCTGTGAGTAGCCAACCATCCATTTATATGGCACTTATTGAGGCCCACCCATCCATCTATTCAAGTAAACACTGATGGAGCCCTCTTTTACCAGACATGATCCCCTCTGCTAAGTCCTGGAACCAAAGGTGAGTAGGACTTTGCCAAGCCTGCTTACACCTTTGATTGAGAAGACAGATGAGAAGAGGTAACTGGGAAAGTGTACCAGGTGAAGGCACCACAAAGAAATGTCGTTAACTGCTTGGGAAGTGGTATAGGTCACAGGAGATTGAGAAAAGGAGCCAATTATACATCTGTAATCATTTGCCAGGCCGCCTATATGTTTTATGCACATGGAACAGCATTTGCAAAGGCACAGATATGCAGAAGAGCCCAGAAAACTGTAATAAATGATGCTTCACAAGGGCCTAGGGATCCAAACTAGGCAGAGGCTAAGCCCAGAGTCTGTAGCATGGTTTGCCAGGCTGAGGAGCTGGCTGTCTGGCAGAGCTGTGTGGAAGGCACACACAGCTGCTGAGTGCTGTCAGCCGTGTGGCCCGTGTCCCAACATGCAGGGCCTGTGGGGGCCAGTGAAGCTTCAGACGACTCTGAGTCAGCATTCAACGGAAGGTAGGTAGACAGATTGCTGGGGATCCTGGTGCTCAAGCCTCGGAGAGGAGGAGTCAAGACAGATGCCAGTTGCAAACGGTGGGAGCCCAGATTGGAGCAGGGTAAAAGCTCAGTGGCTCTGGCCTGAGATGAAAGGAAGAATGGACCATATGCAGGCCACCTTATGAAATGCTGAGGTGGGCATATGTGTCTCATGGACTCCTCACACCACACCCACACTCCGGGGTTAGTCCTGCCATCGTCCCATTTTATCATTGAAGAAACTGGAGCTCAGTGTAATTGACATCCGCAGTCATACAACCTACTGGATGTGGGCCAAGACATGAAGCCGAGCCTTGGCTATCCCAAGAGGAGGTGTTCTTGGCCATTAGGGATGCCCAGAGCAGCCGCTAGCCCAGGCAGATGCAGCCAACACCCCTGCAGGGCTTCACTGCTTGTCACAACCATCTGTTTCCCTCACGGCCACTCGGCCAAACCAGGCGGCCGCCCACACCGTCCAATCCTCCTCATCCTTCACCCCACTAGGTTCCCCTCCAAGTCCCTTAATCCTCTTTGTGGGAATCCTCATGCAGGATAAGCCCCAAGGGCAGGGACAGATGCTACCAGAGGCCTCTTACCCCACCTTGGCCGCTGGCAGCCTTAGGGAAAGGAGGTGGTGGGGTCACATGTGATGCTGGCCGCATGGACTCCCTGCCCTGGGGCTGACCTCGCCAGAGAGGCAGACTTGGTGCCGAATCAAATGATGACCTGGCCAGGGTGGATGGAGCCGTGGACATGAAATGACCAATAATGACCCTTCTATGTCTCAGCATTCATTTGGTTGCTCATGGCTGTGGGCTGGCCCCGTGCTGGACACTGGATAGAAGCATTGAACAAGATGGACCACATTCTAGAGTCAGCAGGGATACTGACAATAAATATGTAAAGGAGTTAAAACATACACTAGATCCAGTGACAGGAAGCAACTGAGCAGAGGGGCCAGAAGAAACTGCGGTGAGAAGGTGACATTGCAGCTGAGGCCAGAATGGCAGAGAGGAGGCAGCAGTGGGGAGCTGAGAGGGAATGGTGCTCCCGATAGAAGGAACTGTCCATGCAAAGCGCTGGGCCTGATTCAAGGAACAGGAAGAAGGCCAGGTGGTGGGAGCAGAAGAAAGGGGGAGGAAGTGTGAGAAGCAGCTGTTTTGGGCAGCAGGAACCCGTTCAGACAGGACCCAGCAGAGAAGAGGTGAACTGTTAATCGAAGAGCATGTTTGAAGTCTGTGCAGGAGAGTGACAGAATACAGTCTGTGTGAGGGCAGTAATTTAGGAGGAAGAATCCAGTCTGTATGAGGGCAGGAACTTAGGAGGAGAAATACACACAGAGAGTACAGTCTGTGTGAAGGCAGGAATTTAGGAGGAACTATACAGAAGCAGAATACAGTCTGAGGGCAGGGATTTAGGAGGAAGAATACAGATATAGAATACAGTCTGTATGAGGTAGGAACTTGGGAGGAAGAGGACAGATACAGAATATGTTCTGTGTGAGGACAGGGGTTTAGGAGGCAGCATCCTCTGGAGACTCGTTAGGTGCTGTCGTGTTGGTTGCGACTCGTAGTGACTCTGAACAAGGGCTCTGAACCCTGCCTTATCCTGTGCCATCCTCACCATCTCCGACATGCTTGAGCCCGTTGCTGCAGTCAGTAGGATGGGGGATTACGGAAGGCTTCCTGGAAGAAGGAGGCCAAGAGGGCTCTGGGGGCTCTAAGTGCTGGAGTGTTAAGGCTTTGTGCTTGCTCTCCTGGGTCTCCCCCATGTGGCCCCCCACCTCCATTCTGCTCCTTAGTCAGCAAAAGGGTCTTTGCCCACTAGCCACAGCCAGGGAGACCTGAGTATGTCCCTTAGAGCTCAGTAGAGCTCAGTTGAGCCAGCGGCAGAGAGGGGTATCACATCACATCACAGAAGACACCATGATGCCTAAGGATTTTCCTGAACATCGGCTCTTCAGAGCCTCACATGAAAACCTGTAAGGGGGCAGGGAAGGACTTGTCATATTTTCATAAACCAGACTGCTCAGAGAGGGGAAGGTGGGCCCCAGCCCCAGGCTTACCCTACCTACCCCACCTGAGCCCTGGACATCCTCAGCCTACCCCTGCCTCCTAAGGACTCCCATCCCTCCCCCAGGTAGCAGCTCTGGCTTGTCGCAATCTCTTGAGTGATTTCTGGGAGCAAATTCCAAATTCCTCTGGATCCAGCTTACTTTAGGGATATAAATTAAAAACCACTTAGCCTCATGCAGCAAATGGACACATTTTTGCCATACTGGCTTCTAAGCAGCTCAGGCAAAGGAAGACTCTGGAGCTGCTGGCCCTTGGGTGGAGCTGGGGCTCCTGCCAGTCCCCAGCCCCACCCCCACATCCGAGGGGTGGTCTTCGGGAACCTGGTTATCAACTAGCTCCCAACCCTTCCTTTCGCTGCAGGTGCCCAGCCACCTCACCGAATCAGGCATCTTTGGACTTTGCTTTTTCCTCTGAGGCAGAACAGACCTATCAGTTCAAGGAACAGAGAAAAGGCTCAGCTGGACTGGGGCAGGGACCATATAATAGAGAGGAGGTCAAAGTGGGAAGAAGAAATCAGTTAACACCGCTAGCCCCCTGCCTACTCCCAGTCTTTCCGCAATGCACGTATTGCTGAAGCTATGGGTCCACTCACAGCATTCGTTGAGGACCATTGTGTGCCTGATCAGCTGTCACACTTGTAAGGAAGGTGTTAAATACCCATTTTACAGACGAGAAAATTGAGGCTCAGAAAGTTAAGTTACTTGGGTGACTAGCTACTAAATGTTAGAAACAATGTTCATGCAGTCTCTTGTCTGATTCCAGAGCGGCCACAGCAGTGAGCGAGCGCCTTGCCTGGCTCCCTTCCCCTTGCTGAGAATGCTGGGAATGTGTGGAATGAGGGCTCAGGTGGGACAGCTGTGGAGGGAGGACTCAAAGTCATGGGACACGACTACACACTCATGCGCCCACCCTCTACAGTTAGGAACCCGAGGCTCCAAGGAATTAAGTGCCTTGCCTGAGGATGCTCTAGTTCCCCCACAGCCTCAAGGTAGAAGGGATCTTGGGCTGGGCTCCTGCCCACTTCCTTCATGGCCAGACAACTGCCCACTTTCCAAGACAGGACACTCCACTATGAGACTAGCACGTTCCCCACATGGCCTGAGTCAGCCCACTTACTCAGCCTTCAGCCTCTCTCTGTGGTGTGAGGGCCTGTGCTCCCTGGCTGTCAGATCCCTGACAGAGAGTTAGGCCTCTGCTAGCAGCCAGCCTTACTGCACCTGGGCTGGGCCACATCTGAGGGGCCAGAGCTTTCAGGAGACGGCAGCAGCACCAGGGCCTGCTCACCCCACCTCTCTTGGGGAGGCCGGGTCTCTCCACCCCAGAGAACCTTCCCAGAAGGCACATACACATTGTCTCTTTCATGTACCAGAGACTGCTCAGTCAGTATTCCCCTGGGGTCCTCAGCCTGGTCCAGGAGGGAGAGCCATACACGAGTCCCTCTAGGCTGCAGGGTCCAGCTCAGCTCTCTGCCACACTGGTGCTGTGTGACCTTGAGCAGAGCCCTGCCCTCTCTGGGCCTACTCTGCCTTTGCATCAGTGAAAGGAGGCTGTTGGAGCAAATGACCCTTGTGCCCGAGCCGCTCTGAGCACCAGGGGTGGGGTGACACCTCCTGCTCCTCTGTCCAGCTGGGCCCAGGCCATAGGACAGCCCTTGCTGGCCTGGACACCTGCCCCGGCATCACTCTTGCTCAACTTAGCTACAGTGTCCCTTAAACCAGAGTGACCAGATTAACCAGTATTGGCCAAACAGAAGGACCTTTGCCTTCCTGCCCTCAGCCCAGGGCCTGAGGGCTCTCGGTGCTGCCTGGGATTTATGGCATTAACCCTTTGTGCCTCAGCCAGAGCACAGGCTTTGAAGCATCCTTCTACCACTGACAAGCTTCATCACCACAGGCTGTTCTTCAGCCTCAGTGTGCTCCTCTATAAAACACAGACAGTATCTGCCCCAGAGAGGTGCTCCTGGTGCTACATCAGCGTGCACTTGACTCTCAGTACCTTGGAGCCAGCTTTCTCCATACACCCTGGAGACCTCCGTGCTTTCCCCAGACAGCAGCCTGGCATTCCCTGGTCCTCATAACCTGTGCGTGAAACTCACTGGTGCCCACCCCGAGCCCCTCCTACCAAGCTGAGCGTGCTGTCACCGACATTTGTGCAGCAGGACCCTCCCTCCCCTTCCAAAGTGCCTTTCTATGGACTGGGAATGATCACCAGGCCATGAAGAGTTAGGATCCCAACCATCTCTACTTGGATAATAAACCCAGCAGCTAGAACGTCCTGCCTTAGTGTGGTGTGTGTGTGTATCAGCTGGGCATAGATGTGCACTGTATCAGAGGTGCACAGAGCCCGTGGGAAAGAGGCTGAGGGAGAGAAGACTTCTGTGCAGGGTCTTCGCTTTGCACAGAGACGCTGAACACACACCTACCCTGGGAAAGCCCTTTCCTCCTAGCCAGCCTCAGCCATCAGCCCTGCACAGAGGTTCCCAGGAGGCAGGGGGACGGGGAGGAGGTTTATCAGCCCTTCCCTGATGCAGTGTGACCCTCGCTTTGAGAAAATATTGTTATTTTTTAAATAAAGGTTAGTTAGAGGATCAGTATTCTTTCATTTCAGCCCTAAATCCCTTATGATGACCTCCCAAACATACAGCAGATAATGAGGAATGTCTCTGTTGGACACCGGGCCACGCCAGTCCACTGCCCTGAGCATCCTCTCCCACCCTTTGCAGCCCCAAGCTGCTCCAGCGAGTGGCCTACCAAGGGCTGCCTGACTGGGTCTGTCCTTCAAGAGGAAGCTCACCCCCTGCATTTGGGAACACTCCCCTTCCTAGCCAGCCGTAGCCACCCCAGCTGTTGTCTGAAATGACTCCATTCCCAAGGTCCTTCCTCCTTAATAAGGAAACCTAATTTTGCTGCCGTTAACAAGGAAGGCGGGTGGGTAGGCGCAGGTCTGGGAGCCCAGGGAAGCCTGGGCGTGGCAGGTAAGGCATATGGATATGAACCTCCAGAGCCCTTCGTGGAGACCTCACAGCCACTCTCTAGCCTGCTGTAAAGATCACATAGGGATGGTGGGGCCTTCTGGCTGCTGATAAACTCCCAGGATGCACACACGACAGGCTTCTCTGCTAAGTGTCACGCTGGAGCAGAGAGCAGACTGCCACAGTGCCTGTGGGCTCAGAGCAGCTTTGAGCAGTTTGATACTTGGCATTGAACTATGCTCTGAGGAACAGGAGGAGTGTCCCCTCACCGGCGCAGCCCCACCAGCCCATGAGCAGCTGTGGCCAGAGCCCAGCATTCAGAGCCAGAGCTGTGGGTGGCCTCAGCTTCCGATTCAGGGGATCATGTAAAAGGCCTTCACATGAGCTGGTTGAGAGCATTCCTGAGATCCCAAGGAGTGACCCTACTATAATGGACATGTTCTAGTGGGTTGAAGAACTACCACATTTATGGGGCAGATACCCTAGCCTGAGGTCATGTAACTTCTCTGGCACCTTCTAGAATGAGGCTGTATCTGAGCCCTTGATAGAGGCAGAGCTTGGACCACCAGACTGGATGCTCTTTGAGGGCAGGTGGCAGGATCCCAGAGTCTGGCTAGGAGGAGGTGTTTATCAGGATTTGCTAAGTGAATACCAGCTAGGTCCGCCCCCAAGGCTGTTCCACCTGTACCATGGATATACTTGCCCCCTCTGCCAGGCTTAGGGGCCTCGCCTGGGCAGAGACTCACCTCACCATTCCTCTCTCACCTCAGGTGGTCAGTCGGGTGGCTGCCCAGCAAGGGTTTGACCTGGACCTTGGCTACAGACTGCTGGCTGTGTGCGCCGCAAACCGAGACAAGTTCACTCCGAAGTCTGCTGGTAGGTGTCTGTTTGAGATTGTCACAGACGTCATGGGAGCTGGGGAGGGAAACCGGGTCCCCCAAAAGGGCTCTTGGGTTTGTTGAGGTTTTTCCAAGGCAGAAAACCTCATCCACCAGGATCCATCCCATAGGTGGAACCTGAACCTCAGAGCACACGAGGCCTTGTCCCTGGGCCTGCTCCCAGGGAGTTAGCAGGAGGTAGGGATACCTGAGGGCCAGCCGTGAGCCCTGGGCATCCCAAACCACAGCAGCAGGACCTGTGGCGAGCAGCAAACATTCACCATCTCGTTCCCTCCCCCAGTGACCCCTTGGCATAGGCTGTGTGACCTTCCTGTCCAACAGATGAGGAAACAGTTTCAGAGGGGACTAGATGCCCCAGGATCATGGAGCTGGAGAGAGGCAGAGCTATAATTGAAGCTTAAACTTGCGTCCAGAGGCATCTTCCTAAACTTGACAAGAACCTTCCATTTATTCATTCAAAATATTTACTAAAAATAAAACACAAAACTGAATCAAACCATTTAGAGCCCCTAAAAGTCTGCTGGGCATAATATTTTCTATTGCAACTTTGACAGCTAAGCCATGAGCAGAGGCCACTGAAGGAGCCAGAGGTCATTCTCCTGGGATATTTTACATGTACCCGCCCCTCTTCACAGGGCAGGGACTTGCCTAGTCAAGGGAGATAGTGCTCGCTTTGACTCCCCAGTCCTGAGACATGGGCCCTACCCTATGTTGAGTGTAGTTTCAGCCTCAGTTTATCTCCTGAAGAAGAGCAGCTGTGACCAGGAGACCTGCCTTAGCGGTGACTCTAAGTTCTAGAAAGATAAATGTGCCCATAGTGTCTGGGTGGTGGTGACGTTTTCTGTACAGCCCAAATAAGTGGTGGAAAAAGAAAAGAAAGCCGATTATTTCCTTTCTACTACAACAATAAAAGAGACTTTTAACTGAGTTATCAATCAGTTCTTTGGAGTGTATGTAAATAGAAGCAAAACAAAAAGCTCCTGTTGATTCCTGCCCCTGAGCTCAGACCCTTCTTCCATCATTCCCCTCGAACCAACAACCTTTCACTTAGTAGGTGAATGCAAGCTGTTTGCACGACCTGGGGAGCTTGTGCCTGGAAACAGCCACATGCAAACATGTTCAGGCTGTCTCAGGGTGTTACCATACAGCTGAACTTGCCTTTTGAGTGGAGGTCTATGCTGTTCTCCTGTCAGTCTGCGGTCCTGCATTTAGCCATGGTTGATGTAAAAGAGAGGAAGACAGTATCTTTAGCTCCACGGAGAGCTGGCACAAGGCAGCATGTGTGGGGACATGGCTATCATGGTGAACTGCCCACTGGGAAATGGTAGACAGCAACTTTCTACTCCTGATAAAATCTGCAGTTTTAATAAGTGAAGCAGATATCACTTTGATAGGGTGAAAACCACTACTTACTTAGAAACATAGACTTGCATAGAATATACGTGTACGTGCTTGCTTGGTGAGGGATCTGGTCAGGCCTGGGCCAGGGTGGGAAGCAATAGACACTGTTCCGTCTTGGGAAACTCGGGCGCGTCCAGCTTTCTGTCAGGGCTCAGATGGTAAATGTGTTAGGCCTAGTGAGCTGTGCAAATGCAGCCATAGATGATACATAAATCAATAAGCCTAGGTGTGTTCCAGTCAGGAGTGTGTTACCCAAAGAGCAAGGTGGGCATGCGCTTACCTGTGAACAACTCCACATGATTGCACCACAGCATGAGAAAGTGTTCATAAAAGCTTAGCACGTAAGCACAGGTAAGCCCGTGCTTACCTTGCCTGCTAGGTACTCTGTCCCTGTCGTTTTTGTTGTTGTTATGTGCCGTCGAGTTGTTTCCGACTCATAGCGACCCTATGCACAACAGCCCTAAACCCTGCTCTATCCTGCGCCGACCGCACCGCCTCTGACACACCCATCCCGATTACC